GTGTTTAAGTATATTGATTGTCCCCAAAAACAATGACGTTTTTTAATTGTTTTTGTTTTCTTTGTGATTTGTAATTACATTGGTACCTGTACTCGTCTATTTTACATAAAGTAAGAAATATTTAATTGGTAATTACTTGTATACAAAATACGCTTTTTAATAAAGATATTAAATAAATATTCAAAAGATTGAAGGAAACCAAAGCTTTAAGGGTAAAAAACGTATCTACGTTTATGTTTTTAAAACTAGCAGGTAGGTAGGCAGGTAGGTAAGAGCTTCAAGTTGTCATAGAATAGGGCCTCGCGAAAGCTGTCTTGCCCACATAAAATTTAGGTCGTGCCCCGCCACTGCCAGTGAATATGAATCATCTGTAGAGCCTGTTAATATTAGTTATGAAAACAGTTATGAAACTAAAAATAATCATACACATAATTTGAATACGACAAGTATAACTCTAAGTACTACAGAAAATAATAATTCTCTGACATCCAGTAATAAGCTGAAACTTCAGACTACAAATATTGTTAAGTTGGAATCAAGTGAACAAAGTCCTAGCACAGAAAAAAGCAAAATTGTTTCTTCGGGAATTACAAATAGAACTCGAAAACCTTATCCATTCAATAGTGATAACAAGAAACTAAATACTAATAAGATTAAACATCCATCTAAAACTAGTGTTACAATCAGGCCAACCAAAAGATTATATCGTCCAGAGCTAGCTAGCACCAACAAGACAAACATCCATCCGAAAGATTGTACGACCTCTGCCTTCTAAAAATATAGTACCAACTAATATTATAGAGAGTTGTGAATCGAAATAAAAATATCAGATGAAATTATACCAACTAAAACAGAATTTAAGACAACGATTATCACTTTAACAAAGACATTATCGGAACCACCTCAGACTATTTCCAGCTTTGGTTACTTAAACTTAACGCATACTTTAACTGTAACACATACTAAGATCAGTTTAGTTAGTCAGTCGGAAGGAGCTGTTACTGAAACACTGGTTCTTACAAATACACACACTTCTACTGTCAACTGTGGTAGATGTTGTGACAGAAATATTCACTCAAGTTCAGCCTACCACTATAGTTGAAACAGTAACCAAACATATTCCTGTTCAAGTTAAAGTTGAACCGACTTCCGCAATAAACTCAATTCCAAACACCAAGATTGTGGCTCTAGATGATATATCTATGTCTTCAGAAGAAAGAGACAACTTTATAATCAGAGACGATGATGTAACTGAAAATATGTATTCAAAAAATAGAAAATGATGAAGAAAAAGACAATGGCACATTCTTTGTTGTGATGAATAAATCACAAAATGGTGGTAAGTCACCCCCTATTAACACTGACATAGAGGCTGGTGACTATGATGGGGTCACGAGGAACGAACAAGAGACTACTAATGAAGTATCACAGGTGTTGTTCGGTGAAATATTACTCGCGGGAACGCCATACCTAGAAAACACTAATGTTGTTCATCCAACAGGCAAGTATTAACTGATTGAATATAAATTGCTTTAGAACTAATCTACTAGTTGTCGCTTTAATTTTATGTTATATTCTATTTTAATGTATAAATTATCCCTGGTATAGGATATGGTAAAGAATGTCAACCAGATTGTAAAGCTTCTAGAAATGAAAGATGCCAGAGGATCGATAGTGTTATGAAGTGCTTGTGTAGACCAGGTTTCGCTAGAATGTTCCCAGATCGACCGTGTAAACGTAAGATACTTATTACTATTTTCTATTATACTAAAAATACGAAACCAGTTAGTATTTAACTATTTCAACATAATATTTTAAATGTGCTCAATTTTAGCAACATACACGTACTCAGTAAGATTAGGATCTAGAGACAACAAGGTGCTCAAATTCCATAAGAATTTATCGGACAATTCTACTAAAGAATATGAGAGTTTGTCATTGGCTACTCATGAAGGAATAAATAGAATGATAATGCAATCAGACTTACGGCATGTTTATCACGGAGTCCACATAACAGGATTCCATCCTATTGAGATGAGAACAAAAGACGGTGCATATGAGGGAGTTATCAATGATTTCTACGTTCAGGTAACCATTCAGTAAGACTTGAAATATGTTGTTTGCTGCTTATCTTAAAGGAATTTTTCTTTAGCTTTCCGATAACGCGCATGAAAGCAGACTGAAGGAAGTTATAGAGAAATATCTACGGAATAATAATTATAGTCTTGGTGGAACAGAAATTTATGCATCTGAAGAATTTATTGAGAGCCCTAATGTCAGTGGTAAGTGAAGACTCTCAACTCTCAAGTCAGTTAATTATAAATACAGAACGTTTACAACAAACACTACTTTGGCTGTCTTATTACTCAGTGGCGTGCACACCATACATGCAAATAATCACTGCATATCCTACCCATATAACAATTAAACCTATATTGTTTAATTCTTACGTACATATTTTTAATCATACATTACGAATTACAAATATTAACAGATATTTAAAACGATACTTAATTTATGATTTGTTAATAAGTGCTATCTACCAATGTAAAAACGAAACTTCGTTCGTTCGTTAATTGTCAAATGAAACGGGACGCTCTGATTGGTCGGTTACCTGTTGATATGTTTTTTCGCCATTTTATTATTTTTGAACATTGTTATTTGTCTTTCTAAGCGCAAGTGAAGAAGTTTTAATTGGTAAACAGTGGATTAATTTATTAACGAATTGTGATTGAGTGATTTATTAACGAATTATTAAAATTATAGCTGTGAGCTCTGTGCTGATGATATGTGTTTATTGAAATTAGTTACGAGGAGATTTTCAATATTGTCGTTTGGTAATAAAATTAAAATAAGTGTAAAGTCAAGGTGTGTGAGTGTGTTGAACTAAAGGAAAGGTAATGTTATTCGTTTTAAAAAAAAGTATTATTTAGTTAGCAGGTTGTGGACACACAAATAAGGTATTTTGTTTGCCTTGTTTCTCATTTCCAAAAGGTAATAATAAGAATATTTCTTATTATTTTTGATATTCCTATTTAAATAGCTTTTATAAAGCTGTAGTGAACAGATCGTTATCGTTTAAAGGTACTTTCGTGGCTCAGAGGAAGTTGAGAGATTCATAAAGTATAGTATAGACTATAGGTGTTCGTTTTGATCGGACTGCTGTCCCTACCATTTTGCGCGAATTTTATCAAAGTTTAAATTAAATTAATATTTTCTGATTATTATTCTCGTATTTTATCGTGCACGCCACTGTTACTAATATACTATAAAAATCTAAGAAGCATTTGAATTTTTTCAGATTTCGACGAATGCACAAGTAGTCAGTTCAATGACTGTTCCGAACACTCACGCTGTTTCAACCTTCGTGGAACTTGTACTTGTAGTTGTTTAGAAGGTTTTACAGACCTTAGCGTCAACACTCTATACCCTGGGAGGATATGTTCTTGTAAGTCGATTTCATTTGCTACTCTGTCGCACGAAATATATGGGGTATTTTAGACATCAAAACATAACCCTTATATATAATTTGACTTTGAAAGCGTTGTAAGATTTCCGACGATAATAAAACTTGTACAAATAATGACATGATGATATTTTAAATTTATTTTTCAATAAAAACTTTCAGCTGACGCAATGGCTGTGCGGGCTCCAACTATCATGGTACCTGCTTCGATCGTGAGAACGCGATGATATGTGAATGTTTCAAATGGTACGCGGGACGAACTTGTCAAGTCAATTTGAAAGGTAAATAGAGACATATGAGACTTGAGTAATTTGGAACGACTACACTATAAAGTATACCAAAGGATATATCCAGAACTACTACTATTCACTATCTCTTAAAAGTGTTGCTTATTTTAAAAAATATGACGATATTAACATAAATTGTTCTTGATTTGAATTTAATATTACCTATCCATAAAGGAATAACTTGATCAACGCCAGCATTTAGATCAGAATGGTTTTTTATGCCAAATGTCATGTAATTTAACATAAAACTAATACCGAATGTGTTTTATTTTCAGCTGTATTGATAACAGTCACCGTAGTAGGAGCGTTGATTATCCTAGTGGTGACCATCTGGGCCTCGAAAAGATGCTGCAGTCAGAAGAATCCTACGAATCAAATGTTTGTTATTGGTTGCATGCAGGGAATGCCAAGTTTACATCAGGTAATTTATCTATAATGTAATACAAACATTTTGCAAAAATTATAGTAGCTATATGTACTAAATTTCTAAACAATATTGTTAGTTAAAAGTGGTTAAAAGGCCCGCCTCTCATGCACGAGGGCGCGGATTCGATCCTGGCCCTGGCAAGTACCAATGTGATTTTTCCGAGTCATATGTACTTTCTAAGAGTATTTAGACACCACTGATTAATGCATTCCCAAAGAGGGTTGATGTCAGGCAGGCGGCCGGTCGTAAGAACAAGTAGCCAAAACTATTCACAACATGTAAGGCAGACCCTGGCTAAAGCTCAGAAAGTTTTCAGGTAGAAGATCGTTAGTTATAGTATAAATTCAATAGAAATTTTTCTTCCAGGGTAATGTTCCATCAAAGCAAAGAGCTGATAGCGAGCATTGCTTGCTGAAAAAAATGAAGCAGCAGAGTCTTGTAGCGTACAGAATGCTTCCCTGCCTTATGTACCATGAAAAGTAAGAAAAAAATCAATTGAATTAAATATTCAATAGTCACCACAAGAATTCTAACACGATATTTCTTAGCTCCCAGTTGTTTTTAAAAACACTCATGATTTATGACGTCACTTAATTAGACAACATTTTCATCCTCCATATCTTAGACAGAGAGTCGATCTCATATTTATTACAAATACCATTTAAACTAATTAATGTTTCATGTGAAGCTTCTTGTGTAACTTCAATGTTGAATCATCCTCGTTGTTCATGAAGTGTGTATTCTATATGTACGTATATTTTAGTTGTATTCTTATTTTAATAAAACCCTTTTGTCAAAGTTAGATGCAGGCGTCATAAAGATGTTGAAGTTGTGGCTCGAGCTCGCTCTAACGGCTGATTCATCGGCGTTATTTAGGGGAAGCAATAGTTTTGGGATGAGTCTAAAAAGGCCATCGGAGCTCTATAAACACCTAAGAGTTTCCAAGAGATATATCCTGGGGAAATCCCATGATGATATAGTGACATCGCTCCCAAAAGATGAAGATGCCCCCGAGCTAGAGTCACGACTTCAATTCCATAAGCAATTTATGATAGGAGCGCAAAGTAACAGAGCGGGGTTAGGATCAAATAGGAAAGTCCAAGATGCGGATATATTGAAGTCTTTTATTAGGCAAGACGAGAATGATAAATATAAGATCCATGCAATGAATTTAGAAATGCAGAACGAGTGGTTAGACATAGGAGATTTTTGCATCCCATTAGCATTAAAATGGCGCACTTTAATTTATGATTGGTCGCCAGCATTGCTAAAATTCTATCTCAATGCGTTCCAGATGACTCTCCCAGATCAGAGTAATTTAGTAAGATGGGGTAAAAGTACCGAAAAGACTTGCTATATCTGTGGAAAGGCAGTTGGAACTGCTAAGCATCTGCTGGTGGGATGTAAGGTACTCCTTGACAGCGGTCAATACTCGCGTCGTCACGATAGGGTTCTAGAAGTCATACGTGAAGCGGTTAGTCTTTCGGTAGCCAGAGCGCAAAAGGGAATAACCACTAACGAACGATCAGTAGGTTTTGTGAGAGAAGGCACTAGGGCTACAAAATCAAACGTCAAGCCTTACTCCATCCTTAAAGCGGCGTCGGATTGGACTATAATGATGGACACGTATGAAAAACAATATAAAATCCCCGAGGATATTTGTGCGTCGGCCTCCAGACCGGATATATTTTTGTTTTCGCGAATTTTAAAGCGCGTAGTGATGATAGAGCTTACGGTCCCTTGGGAAACCAACATCCCCAAAGACCATACCATCAAGGTCAACAAATATTACGAGCTCACAAACGAACTCACTCGAAATAGGTTCGTAGTAGATTTGTACGCGGTAGAGGTGGGAGCGAGAGGTATAACAGCGAAATATCTCTATAACCTACTAAAGGACTTGGGCTTGTCCAGAACTCACATTAATGCATTCTTGGAACGTACATCGAAGGCAGCCCTAGTAGGTTCTTTTCAAATTTGGTTAGGTAGGGAGAGGAGCTTGGACAGTGGAGGTGAGCGTATAACGCGCGTTAGTTAAGGGGCCCCTTAAACCTACACTTGGGTCGCAAGTCCCAGGCACTGTTGAAGCTCCTCCCCCTGCAACGCGATGGACCCGGCACCCGCACGGTGAATCCATGGAATGCTGAGAAGTTTCGTCGTCTATTGTAGTCCCGGTGTACATCACACAGTAAGCAGGCCCCGGAGCCTCCCGGACACTCCCTCCCCCGCCGCCAGCCCTCATGATACCTCGAGCGAGATTACATGCACATTACATGACAGGTACCATGAGGAACTACATGTACAAGGAACACATAACACTTGGTAAGGATAAAGATAAACGTTATATAATTGAATAGTATATACTGTATATGTATATGATAGCTTATATTCTTGTATTGTCTTTGTAATATGGATAAATATACAGGTAATGACTTTGATAGATTAAGATTATTATTTGTATATTATGTTCACAAATTAATGTGCATCATTTATATTAATATGTAAAAATAAACATAAGGATATCTGGACTTATAATATCACAATTATAAGTTTGAAATCACCAACCCGTCTTAAGCAAGTGTGGTGATTAATGCTCAAACCTTCTCCATGTGAGAAGAGGCTATGCTCAGCAGTGGGCTCTGAGGGTTTAAAAAATAATAATAAAACTAAAATAAATCCCTTTTTTCACTTGTGAATGGCTGGACCGATTTTACTAATTCTGTTTTTGTTGTATTTGTTATTATTAGGAGAAGGTTCTTATGTAAGAAAAAATACGAAAATTACTAGAAAAAAACACTAGAATATTTCATTTTGTTACAAAACAAATAAATTAAATATTCGTAGGAAGAGGATGGGCTATTGTTAAAGGAATAAGTTCCTTTAAACTTAATAATAGTTTTAATAGGGTATAATTAGTCTAGGGACCAAATTACAGCACCGGAATAATTAATTCATTTCCATAAATTGATTATCCAAATGTGAAAAGTATACAAAGATGTCTGTTATTTTATATTAATATTATTTTTATTTATACAACGTGTAACGTAATTAACGCACACCCTCAAATACCCCAATGCGAATATAATAATATAAACGCAATGCATACACCAAATATTATTTATATGTGCGTTTGCATTTTTTATTTGTGAAATTAGTTATCCCAATTTCGTGCAAATAATATGGTCAGCTATTCACCAACACTCCGCTGCACACGTACACACAGACAGACACAACGTACTCGCCGCGCCCGCGCCCCGCTCTCCGAGTGCCGTCCGACAATAATAAGTAGTAGGTAATAATAAGTACACGAAATAACTACATACATTATGATTTATGATTCTTCTTTCCATCACACTTTTCAGGCTTTAGATTGTCGACATTGAATTTTCTTTTTAATGTGAAGCCAATATTTTATAATTACTGATCTGTTAAATTTGTAAATAAGAATTATTAAACAGCTGATAACTCGTGATTTGATTAGACACCACAATACCTACGACAAAGTTTAAACACAGTTCGCGTGTTTAAATTTAAATGGTGTGAATCAAAATATTTACAATAATTTAAAGATTATAAACAAACTTACAGTTTAATTTGCACTCGCAAGACGTTGTCGGTTTTAATCATTTTCAAAATGTCCACCGCCTTGTTCAATGCACTTTAATGACCGTTTTCGCAATTGTGGTTTTATTTTAGATAATACTGCAGTGTCACTTTTCACTTTTACAAAGGCGGTTATTATCTTATTTTTTAGTTCCTCGGCACTTATTATCTCTCTGTTATAAACTAGCGATTTAATTCGCCCCCACAAAAAAAAGTCGAGTCGCGTCAAATCAGCTGATCTAGGAGGTCAATGGACACGTGCGTAGGTATTTGATGTGTGCCGACTGTCGCTGTGCTTGCGTAGATATTTGTAAAATACTATTTTAGCCTTGAAACAAGTATCAGTTTTCTTTAATTGAATGATGATTACTAATTTAATATTTCATTTTAAAAACTTAATACTCTGACTTACGATCCATTTTCGTTTCAATGAAGGGTTTAGATAACTGTGTGTAGGATGACTGTAATTTACTTAGTTCTATCTAAATTTAAGAAAAAAAATGACCTACATAAAAAAACTATAAAAATCGATCCAGATTCCGATTCTGAACAAACTACTTTCAGGGTGTGCGTTAATTGTTACACGTACATACATACACACACACACATATATACATATATACACATACAGATAGGTATTATAAAAAATATTATTTAAGCATAATATGTGCCGCCCATATATCGGAAAGTGTTCAGTAAGAAGCTGTTATTTCAGAATTACAAACAGACTCCAATTCTATTTACGACTATACTAGTATGTCCGAATTAGTGACCATTATAAGGCTACTGTTACACATGCTTATTCCATGCACGAAAGCATGCTTTAATTGAGCACGAGCTGAGATATAAGATTATCGCGAGTACTCAATTAAACTAGTGGTTAAAGGGCCCGCCTCTCGTCACGAGAGCGCGGGTTCGATCCTGGTAAGTACCAATGCGTCATGAGTCATATGTACTTTCTAAGAGTAGTTAGACACCACTAACAGACGGTGAAGGAAAACATCGTGAGGAAACCTGGACTTATAATTTCATAATTATAAGTTTGAAATTACCAACCCGTCTTGAGCAAGCGTGGTGAATAATGCTCAAACCTTCTCCATGTGAGAAGAGGCTTTGCTCAGTAGTGGGCTCTAATAGGCTGATGACGACTCAATTGAATAAAACTAATATTTTCATTGATGGCGTTAGGTGATAAAATAACAAGACTGATTGACAGACACTCACATCTCGTCTGCCCGTGATCATGGTTTTTTTACTCCCGAGAGTATGTAGTTTATACTCCCGAGAGTATGTAGTTTATAGTCGAAAATAAAAAATCGCGTAGTAAATCCGAAAATATTAGTTTCATTTAAATGAGCACTTGCTGTTTACTTGCATGTGTGTCCAAGTGTTGCTTAAAATAAGCATGCTTTAATATCGACAGGCGTATAATTTTTAAGCTTACTACTAGCGGCGCGGGTGCAAGGGTGCGTGCTTTAAGCACGTCTAACCAGGTTGGTTATTAAGCATGCTAGTACCGATCAGTCAATTACAACAGATGAAACGTCGTCTCCTCGTATTTCTGTAAGTAATTTAGAACTTGATCCCAAGTCCTGACTTCTCGATATTTAATTACGGACCCAAATCATTCTCTTTCTTTTCTATTTTTGGCGACCTGATATAAGCTTCTGGATACATTGCATCGCCAGCAAAAGGATGTTCTTATCTTTGTTTGAACTGACAGAGAGCGAGAAAAACAAATGTAAACGACTGCCAGGCATGCTTAATAGCATGCTTATTTAAAGCATGTGTAACTGTAGCCTAATGTATGTATATATTTGTTCCAGATGTCTGTCACAATGCCTAAACGATGGTATCGGTCGAGAAGGAACCAAATCGTTATTATAGTTTTCACAGCCGCCTCTATAATATACTACATAAGTCTTTCTGCTAGCTTACAAAGGGAACAGAAACTCGATATGACCAGGAGGTATGTACATAGTTTTAACAGCTTTTTGGCTTATTAAAGGGTTATTAAAGCCTTAAAATTATTGTGACAGAATTTCTCGATTGTAGCTATCCTGAATATATCTTTCGTTTCCTTGTCTACTTACTACGACTTATTTAAAGGAAATCACCAAGATTCTGATACTACGTCATAGACACTTTTTAATTCCACAAACAACAAATGGATTTGTAATAACAACTGTATAAACGTCCTAATTTGTAGTTAGTATTAATATTATATAACATTCATTTTTAATACTATTAAATAAGATAATAATGATGCTGTTCGTATTATATTTTCTATCATGAAGAGCTAACATGCTAACATCACAAATATAAAGGCTTAGATTTTTTGTTTCCACAAATTTTTTGAATCGTTGTTTTTACAATGTTGATCAATGATAAATTACATATATTTCAGGCAACCTGTTATTGAGAAAGTAGAACTGTCTAGTTTGACGTATTTCTATTTTAGTTTACAATATACTTTATATTTATAGTGTATAATTATAATTTTTTTTAAAATACATAAGGATTCGTAATGAAATTGTAATTTCAGAACAGCGTTGTACATAATTTTATAAATATCGGTTAATTCTTGATTCTTGATAATTACACATATGAGGTAAAATCATATATTATTAAAGTTAGTTTTATTATCAAATAGTCTGAATTATTAACTTAGGAAGACAAACCGTTTTATATTTTTAATCCAGGTCCATGGAAAGACGATTAGAACAATCTCAGAAACAGGACAAAGGCTCCGGGTGTGAGATATCCAGATTGGATCCATTCTCTAAAGAAGTCACGCAGTTTGATAAGGACATACCCAAGGTTATGTGTTTGGGAACGGATTGGGTTAAATGTTATGTGAGTTAATTTGATTTGGATACTGCTTTTGTAATAAACCCTGATATTAAACACGAAAGATAACATATATTCTATGAATTAATATAATTTTTTTCAGCATTCTAAATATAGGGTAGTTCCCAAAATATTCAATACCACCGATAACATAGTATGTTCATACCAAGACATAATATATGAGAGTGATCAGAAATATACAATCGGTCCTCCCACAGAGGTCAGAGGTGATAACGAGTATGTCCTCACTAAGAGCGATCATGTAAAGATTAAGTGTTCAGGGAAACATAGGGACAGGTGAGATTATGTGTTAAAGACAATAGAAAGTGTAGTGAAAAATACTTTTCAATAATCATGATAACGGGAAGACTATCGTTTAGTCTTAGTTTTTATAACCTTTTACTGCTGTTTCTTGAGATCTTCCACTGTGGTCAAGTTATATATATTTTTTTGATTAGTAATTTTTCGGATATGTTACTTGCTATTCATATTTTTTTAACAGTCTTGATTTTTTTCACTAGTATAGACGTCACGTAACAATCTATCTATATATATAAAAAAGAAAGTCGTGTTAGTGACTCCACT